TCGGATGTTGCGCAGGGCCACCTTTATTACTTGTGCGGGCGTCCTTTTTCCCTTTAGGGGGGCATATAATTAACCCTTATCGAAGTTTGAACTAACTACTGCTCGGTGACGTTATTGCCTCGCGCTAAGCTTAAGAGTTGATGTCGTGATGATTTCATTTACTCAGTGTCCTGTGGTTGTAACTATACCAGGAGTTGGGTCCTGTGAGTGGATGATAGAATTAAATTACGTAAAGCGCCCTTAAGCGAGAGAAGTGTGTAAGGCGTGGGAGGTGGAGATACTCTGCTCGGCTTGTTTTCTGTGCGACGGGAACACAGCAGATGATCTGATTGAGGTGTCCTAACTCGAAATTAGCATCAAAGGGATACCGATGCAGACCTGCTGCATTCCTTTGTTGGATGCCATGTCTGATCAGGCTAATGGTAGTGGAACAGTGCAGTTTGCAGACTTACTGTTTTGCCAGCCTCCATTAGTGATGGCAATCTGCTGGTCCCTTGCGGACGTAGAGCTACAGCATGTAACTTGCTGCGTCGCCGCTGATGCCATCCTTGTTATCTGTCTCCTCAGAAGTCCCCACGGTGAGCCTTTACTCGTCGATTCTGATAGTTTACGAGTGGGTTTTTAGACTCGCGCCCACGGACATTGTTTAACAGTGTTAATATGATGTAGTAACTTGGCCATGTTATATGCTGGACTTTTGTGTAAATTGACATATAGTGTGGGGGAGGCTTGCGTAGCATCTTTCGCACTCTCTCCTACACACCAAGTTTTGGCGGCAGAATTTGACCCAGACCACCGCAGACAGACTCTGATTCAATGATCCACGTGCTTAACCCTCTGGTTACGCGCTCCACATACTTGCTACTCCTGAGAAAGCGGGACCTCTTGGAGCCCAAGCTGGTGAGTTGCTATAAGGACCTCTTAAGGAAATGTTGCGGCGCGACTCTCTGGGTTACTCTGTGTCGTATATCCGAATCACTCACAAGTTTGGTTTGCGAGGGGGAGGGGGGGATGTTCTTTGGCTTTTATCTTTTTACGTGGCCATTCTCATTCACTCTATTCAATTCGGCTGCTGTTACTTTTTTACGTTCTTTTGTCTTTCTATTTGAAACAACATTGCTTGTAGTAGTAGTTGTTGTTGTTAAGAAACGTGTTCTGCCTTTTAGACCGTTTTCCTGACTTCGGAGTTCTACAGTGCCATGCAGATGGATGAACTTAAAACCAGTCATCCTATTGAGGTGAGTGTTGTTTCGTACTGACTTCTGTGCTAAGACGTGTTTGTCGGGACAAGAAGCTAACTTAACAGATAACCCTGTTTATCCTAAGCCTGTCCTGCTTTGTCATG